GTAAAAAGTGGGCATGCTTAAAAACCATCTCCTGGGTGTAGGGTTTTATGTACTCATGCATCCAATGGCAAGAAACAAATGTGAAACACCACATGTGTTAAATTTGACCATCCAAACCCATAAACTCAAAATATATTTGCTGATTCACCCAGACTTTTCTAGGGTTTTTGCTTCACTCAAAAACATTAGGAGACTGTCCTATGAATATTTTTAAAGCATAGATTTGACACAAGAACAACATATACAAATAACATGTAAATGTATATACAAATATATAAATATATATTTATTTATATTTATTTTGTTCTTTGTTCTTAATGATGTTATTATATATGTTATATGTAATAACATATAACAAAGAATAACATATAAATATAAATTACTAACAGACCCAAAAATACTTAAGCCTGCTTAGCTACACAATCAGTGAGGTTCAATCCATGTTCTACTTATTAGGACAGAAGAATCCCAGTGCAATAGATTAACACTTACTCCATATTATAAGCAAAGAAGAGTTTCACTTTTCCTTTTAGTTTGCTGTAACATGACTGGTTTAAGCTCTGCTGGTTTTCAGTCTGTTTTGGTTTTGCTTTGGGGTTTTTGGTACTATCTTGGGAGCTGGATTTTTCGTTGTTTGTTGAGCTGATGCAAATCTTCATCTTGATCTCTTGCCAAGTCATGTACCACATGCTTGGAAACTTGTGTTTCCTGAACATCATGATGGCTTTACCAGTCTGCTTTACTATTCTGGACAATGAGGTTTAGCTGGGTGTCCACTGACAGTGAGGAATTCAAATACTGAAATGGAGCTTTTACAGATGTCTACAAGCTCATAGTCTCTACCAGCATCGTTTAAAGCCCCTCCAAGACTCAATTTCATCCCTTAGTTATTTTTCTTAGTCAAACCCCTGATAACTAGGAGGTGGTTTTGTTCACAGCAAGAGCAGAGATATCATTATTCATTGCCAGCATTTTACTCCACAGTGGGACATTATTACCTGCATACAGAAATGAAGGGGTAGCGTGTAAGGCTCTGGGAGAGCAAACAAAAGCTCTCATGACACTTCTGGGAGGAAAAGGCAAAGGCTTCTTCAGAATATCCTGCTATCCACAGGGACTGTGCCCCTCTATTGTACAGAGCACACAGGGAAAAAACCATTCCTAGAAGAAACCCCTTGTCTGTCTAGTTATTTCCATGTGTAAATACATGTTTCCACAGACTCATCACACAAAAGTCCTTGATGGACTTTTAGTATGCAGCACCATCTTTTACAAATGTAATTTCTAAACTGCAATCTGAAAGTTTCATTGTTTCGTTTTGGATATAGGTATGAGTTCAGCAGTAAGTTGCTTTGTATAAAACAAGCTCTGTCTTTTATTTGTCCTACTGATACAATAGCAGCCTGGGTGGGTAGGAGAACTACCTCACCTTCAAACCAAGAAGCTTAAAACCTTCAGAAGACCAGCAAAAAAGTCTACCTTCCTTTTTTCAATAGTTCAACTATCACAATATCTCCCTCTCTAGCTTGTCTTTCTTTTATTCTTGTAGCACTGCCAGCTACATGTCAGCATCATTAGAACTTTAAGATTCTTAGAGATTACCTAGCAGTTGTCCAGAATTTTCTGATTAGCCAAACAGCAACACTAAAACTGAGCAGACAAGCAGCAGTCTGGTAATTCTCTATGAGCAAACAACACCCTGTCAGAAACACGCTACCACTTAGTAACACAATGAAAAGCGGCCAAACATGGACACAGAATTTTAAAAACTAATAGATTTTTAGCTATGAATTACTGACACCTTTGGGTGATAAAACAATAAAGAGAAATTATAAAAATTATGATAAAACATTACAGAGAAATTAGTTCAGTCATTCAATTTTTACCATCCTCCTGGAAAAGAACAAATGCCTTTTATTCCCATTGCAAGCATTTAGTTACACACGACAATATATACCATAAACATAGATTGTGATATTTTCTTGAAACTCAAATTCTGCCATTCTCCCAACCTCTTCAGATTCTTCAAGCCAAAAATACTTGCTCTTTTGATACAGCTCCAGCCTATGTGACCAATTTCTTATTCTGGGCTGAGTCATTACAAAAGCCAGCCGATTGGTTAAAAATAAAAAAAGGAATGCTGAATACCATAGCAACCGGCTTGCAGCCTTGCTAACATGCAGGAAGGATTTTTTGCTTGAACAAGAGCTACAAGTGAAAACACCAGGCCAAAATCAGATCTGGCATAATATCAACAACACAATAGAACCACAGAAATTACTTTACCCCTCCCCAGTCTCCTCCCTGTAATATCTTTTTTGCAGCAGCAAATCTTCAGGTTCTTATTAAAATACAATTTAAACAGCAAATTAAAACATGTGCCATGGTATTGATTCCACATATGCATCAATATGTGGTAGAATCTTTGGCAAAACAAATAGGATTAAATGTTGAAAAATCAAGTAATGGAAGTAGAGCAGTAACAGAGCTTGATTTTCAGTTTTAATTAATGGTCACATCACTCCATAACTAAAAGGATTAAAGGTTTCTAAAGAAACACCTCTAAATACAGATAATTTTACAATGCCTAATTTAGTGATCACTTTTAGGAATGTATCAAAGTAGTCACTTAATGTCAATACCCTCTAAGAACTGCATCAAATCCATAAGGAATATATTTGAAGAAGTATATTGCTCTGGAATTACTGCAAGAGTATGTGTTCAGGGCAAGGTTTTGGCAGGGGGGGACTCTGTGGGAAGAGACCAGAAGCTGCCCTGTGTTGGACAGACCCACTGCTGTCCCAGGCTGCACCCACAAGTGACACCAGTGCACCTCTGTGATAACATATTTAGGAAAGGGTAAAAACCTGTTTGGCAGCTGCAAGAGAGAAATGAGAGAACCAGCCCTGCAGACGCCAAAGTCACTGAAGAAAGAAGGAGTAGGTTCTACAGGCACCAGAGCAGAAATTCTATTGCAGCCAACAGAGAAGATTGTGACAATGCAGCTTGTCCTCCTGCAGCTGATGCAGTCCATAGTGGAGCAAATATCCACCCTGCAAGCACACGGAGAACACCCAACCAGAGCATGAGGAGATGCCCTAAAGGAAACTGCAGCCCATGGAGAGCCAGGCTGGAGCAGGCTCCTGACAGGACACATGGCCCATGCAGGGAGCCCACACAGAAGCAGATTTTCAGGCCAGAACTGTAGCCTGGAGGAGCAGCACACTCCTGACGGACTGTACCCCATGGAAAGGATTCATACTGAAGCAGTGGAGAAGGGCCTGTGTTGGACAAGTTCATGAGGGACTGTATTCCTTAAATGGGACCTCACAGTGGGTGGAGCATGGGAAGAGCAAAAGCAGAAGGAGCAGCAGAGATGGCATGTGACAGACCGAGAGTAACTCATTCCCCATTCCCCCTGCTCTGCTCAGAAGGGCAGAAAGTGGCAGGCAAGTTAGAAGGAAAGAGGGAAGTTGAGTCTGGGAAAAGAGAGGAGGACCAGAATACAAAACTGTCAGTGACCTCAGCTCTGAAACAATTCCTCCATGCTCAAATTGGCATGAAAGCCATGACAAAGATGCAGCAGAGGTCCAGTGACTGAAGTACACAATGGTAAGGCCTAAACTAGTGCTCAAGAGTAACCAGCAGAAAAATGGCCTCAGCTTTTTCCAAAACTTGGGAGAGGGCAACACAAATGGCTCAGAATGTTGAAGACAATGCCAAGATTCTGTTACCCTTCATTTGCCTAGCAGAAAGGCATCCTTTGAGCCTAAATACTTCCACTGCTCTTGTTACAATTTATTATGACAAAATTATTATTATAACAAAATAATTATTTAATAGTATTATCAGAAATATTAAAACTAACTTGAACCATCAGTTTCTTTATTAAAAAAAAAAGGTAAACTGTTTAGGAATACATATCTGCATGTCAGCCTAACTGAGGGGTGTCTAGAAGCAACTCATTTGTGTGAAGGAAACTCAGTGGTAACACTCTGGAAACTGCTCCTCCTACTAAACAGTACTGCTGATACATCAAGGGCCAGGAAAAAATTACAGAACTATTAAACACAAAAAAAGGCATCTTAGCACAAGCAGAGTACACTCATACAAAAAATAATCTCCATGATTATAATGCAGTTACAGAAAAACATCTAAACAAATAAACAGATGTGCAGCATGCTGAGTCTTATGTTATTACAACCTTTTAATGTAGAGCCTCATTCTTTCCTGTAATATTTAGATTTCTGAGTTCAACAGCGAGTTGACCTAGGCAGTTCAAGGTTTTCTGCAAACTAAAGATGTTTGCTTGGTTAGTCTCAGAAGAAGCTGTGTTAAACCAGGAATTTAAAACAGACAAGTCTATCCAAACACCTTGTCAAAGATCCCCTGCATTATACCCAAATATATTTCCCCTGCAGAAATATTTTTCAGAGAAGTCTGTCACCCTACTATAAAAATTATAAACCACGGCAATGAAGTGAGCTAATTTACAAAAGGACACCTGTAGAACTTGTAGCTAAATAAGAACAAAGACTATTTTAGATCATTGAAAAGTCTACATGTACACATGGGTCACTAGTATAGAGGAAAGATTCAGTATCATGTAATTCAGCTTCCTGTAGTCCAGTTAAAAAACACAAACAAAACAGTGTGTGCAATACAGTTAGTGCAGGAGACACAAAAAAAGGAGAAACAAAGAAAAAGAAAAAAGGTTTTACTTTTATTGTAGGTATTTAGGGTTTGTATTATTTCTGGGACATCTCAGACTAAATAACAACACTCACAACATGGATTGTCTATATGTACCACTTTCTCTAAGACACAGCTCTTTTGAAAAACTTTTATTCACTGCTTGTAAAGTGACAAAATACAATCAATGACCTGTAGACAGCTTTATCACATTTGCTTTTTTGTAAATTCCAAGGTCCATTGTCATAAGGGATTCCTGTAACCAGCCATCTGGGTTGAACACAAAAATAAGTGACAGGCATCCCTACCTCCCAGTCCATCTCCAGAATCAACCTCACAGATGCTCTCCCCTTCCATATGGTCTTTGGGATGCAGCAGAAAGCAAGATCTTCCTCGAGTGATTTGCTCAGGCTCCAGAAGGAAGATGAATCCACCCACTCTGCAGCCAGCAAGTGATATCTTTCAAATAAAAACAAAAACAAAGCTATTGAGCCACCTCTGGTATACAACAGATTAATTTAATTTCATTTAATTTCTCCCTTAAAAATTCAACTTTTCAAGACTGTGTGTCAGCTAGTTCTACATCCATCATTGCAGCTCCTTATATCAATACTGTCTCTTCAGGGGGTATCTGAGCTCCTTTTCCCTTGTAAATTCAATGGTGATTCACAGATCAAACCCTTCACCCAATATAAAGAGGTTACATCAGCCCAAATTGCAGGACCCTGTTAAGGTGGAAAGCCTCGGCACAGATTCATGCTCATCCACATGGCCTGACAGGACTAGGAGAAATATACTAAATATCCACATGATCAGCTCTTCTCTGGCTCACTGTGAGTACTGTAAAACTAAATTACATGCAGTTTGCAAACAACTACACAGACTGAAAACACACAGTTCATGTGGGTTCATCTTCTTAAACTCCTAGGGTTATGTTAAGTAACAGCAGAGAGAGCATCTCAGTTTAGCAATGGATTTGATTTACACATGAGTATAATGAAGGAAAGTGTAAAGATGGGTATAGACAAAAGAATAAACCCATCTCATGTTTTATTTAAGAGAAGGACAATAAGGGAGAAAAATTCCTTTCCCTTAAATTGAACCCAAATAGCTGATTCTTTTACTATTACTGTCCTTTGCAGTAGTTTTTACCAGCACCTTCTCTTTCTGAATAAAAGAGAAATAACTGTCAATTAATTAAAACAAGAACTAAGGAGTCAGGAAACACCCTCACATTAGTGCCTTTGAGAGGCAAAAACAGACAAAAAGCAATCAGAACAGCATAGAGTTACTAGATTAGTTTTGCAGTGAGTGAAGAACTGTCATGTGTCAGATGTTCATGATCTAGACAGCAAAGCAAGAATGAGCTCCAATGCTCGTCTAAATATAAGATTTACAGTATGGTTATTTTTGAAACAAAGGAAAACAGGAACCAAAATGCATCCAAAAAGAGTTCTCTGCCACAAATGAACTCAGGCTAAGAACAGAAAATACATGAGAGAACAATGATCAAGTATATGAGTGACGTGATACATAAAACTGTTCAGGTATCATAAGTAACTCTATGAGCCAGTCATGGAGCAATATATTAGCTGTTTCCTTGCCAGTTCTGAATGAGCAAATAACAACTAATTTCTATTTGCAAGTCTGTGGCTTTCTCTTGCTTTTCCATATCACTAGGAAAGCATTCAAACTGTCCCATGCAACTGTGTCTTATTGAAGGCGTGGAAAAGGGAAAAAAAATTTTTATTAACATCGACTGCCCTACATTCAACATGAATTGTCTCCTTCAGCTTCCTATCACAAGAAAACAAGAAATACTATAAACAAATCTGTATTCAGACATCAAGTAAAAGAAAATCAATAGTTCAAGCACTATGTCATTGTGTTGATAAAAAGAAGAGCATACCTAGAAGTCTCACACCAGAAGAACTCTGTTTCTTCAGCTTCTTCAAGCATCTCTCTCAGCATTTCTGTGTTTTTGTTGATTTTCTGCTGCTTGAGCCAGTGGAGGTGTAGGCCATGTCACAGAGCATGCATGGCACTGTGAAACACTGAGCAGAATTCCAACGGAGGGAAAATTGTAGCACAGCCATCCTACACTGCTGCTGCCTCTTCTTCACCTTGAATTCAAGGTGTTCTTCTAAACCCACCTGTGTGTTCTTCAGAAGGTGGGCTACTGCAGTTTGCCAAAGAGCACAGACTCAGAAAGGATCCACCATCATGCAGATTTCCAGTGATGAAGTATCCATAGCAAAAATTTGGTAGAAAAGAAATCCATGCTCCTTATTTTAAAAATATTAAAATACTTACCAAATAAATGAATGGAATGCAACAGTAATAGTATGAAGTTCTGGCTGTGTATTTACACCTGAAATATTTAGCTCCAAATGCTGATTTAGGATACTCAGAAGAACATTAACAATCACAGTTCCTGTTTATAAGAGCAAATGCCCTCAAGCAATGAATATTGGATTCCCATGATCAAAGTTCTACTGCCAATGTCACAGGATTTAGTACTACTTTTTCTAGACAAATAGGTCAGATGAACAATTAACCGTCATTTTAAAAAGTCAACCACAGGCTTTCAAATGTAAGAACTTTTCTTGCAAGTTTGCTTTTGGAAAGGTCATCTTATTCTGCTCAGATCTGGGGTTTTATGATGAGTTACAGTCCTCCTGCACAGTAATACAGAAACATGTATAAACTAACTGACCACAGGACATTGTGCACTGTCTAGAAACTAAATAATACATTTTTTCCTCAGCTTTATGCCTGCGTATGTGGAGAAAAAATTAATCTATGCCCAGCATAAATGCCTACTTCTACATCTACTTAGATACAGCTGTTGTACAACCTAATGTGTTCACATGTCTGTAAACAAAAATGTGTGTCCTTATGAAAAATCCATCAAGTGTCTTATCCCTTTCTGCCTTATACTGATTAACTAAATGAAGTCTGCATGCCTTTTTTAAAACTTGTACATGTAGAAAAGACTAAATTCCAAGCAGTCAAGGCATAAGGACTGATTACTAAAATTAAGTATCAGCACTGAAAAATACAAGCATTTTAGTGCAAGATTACTAACACAGTAACTGAAAATGAAATTCAATTCAAAAGACAAAATTACTGTTATTATTTTTATGGAAAACCAATATTAAAAGAAGATAAACAGAAGAAAACCTGGTTTTAAATAATTTATTATTTTATATACATTTCATTGTGAAACAAATTAATTTTTCTTTATTACATGCTAGCTGTCTAGCAATATTTGCACCAATATTGCTTTTAATAGCCTTTCACTCATAGCTGAACCTTTGGGTGGTGGGGGAAGGCACTGTTAGTCAATAGCAAACTCCTATTGTTCTGTTCTCTGGCTATGAAAACTTTTAATTAAAATCTGAAAGCAAAAGGATGCAAAATCTGAAAGCAAAAAGCAGCTCTGGAATGCAGAGCTGCTGAAATGTAATCACAGCAATGGGGTAACCACAGAGGTGAAATTCTTAGTAAAGAACTGCTCAAGCTTGGCCATTTACCCCTAATACAACAGAGAGAAAAACCTGAAATGTTTTAAGTCAGCCCTTCCACAAGGGAAAAACTCCACAGCAGAAAAGCAAAGAAGAATGAGGTATGAGTAAAGTTTTTTTAGAACAATGCAGCAACAAGTTTGCTACTTTTTAAGCACATAGCATTTGAAACCTACATTACAGGGCTCCTTTGGTCACGTAGTTTCATTGTTTGATCATCTTGCTCATTCAAATCCTTCTCCCTACTAAGATCATACAGTATGTCCCATTTCCCACCATCAAAGCAGAACGAAGCCACATGTGAGCCGACCATCACTTGGTGATGTCATCTGGTCCTTGGTGAAAATGTTGTCATGAGAGGGGAAAAAACCAATTAACATGTCTACTTAAGTCTTAGGGAAGACATTTCTGGTGTTGAGGGAACTTGACATAGAAGGAGGCTCAGCAAGACCAGTTGTGCACAATTTCCACCTCAGTGTGGTTTACAGAACCACCCATGTCAGAGCAAGGCACAGGTGGCAGAAGCATGAAGTGGGGAATGCATAAATCCTTGCATGACACATATTTTTTCCCTCAGAGTAGTTAAAAAAGCTTCAGCACTGTTTTAACCCAAGCCAAGGAGTTATGTTGCCAAGCAGATGTGCAGAAGAAAGAGCAATAGATAATTACTGTCATTAGTCACCTTCTTCAGACCAGAGCCTGGCTACAAGTGCTGTACAGTGGGGTGCAGAGAAACTGCATATGCATACAAGAAAGCCCAATGAAATGTAAATGACTGCAGTCCCTTGATCTTTCTGAAATGATGTGGTTCACCCTCCGGCTGCAGATATTGGATTTTGCAGTATTAATCCCCATTAATGTAACATAATACTACCACTGGAGTGTATGTATTTTGATAACAGCATATGAATGTGTTGCAAAAATCAGAGTATGATAAGAATATTTATACTTGCACACATTAAATCTTCAGGGAACTTGACAAGTTTAATTCTCCAATTCAAGTCAGAAAGACCACAGTTTTCTACATTTCAAATCAAGTGCTGAGTTAACAAATATGCCAGAATTAAAATGCGAAGGGAAGATTCAAGTCACAGAATCTCTGAATGGTATGGATTGGAAGGGACCTTGAAAATCACCTCCTTGCCATGGCTAGGGATACCTTCTAGTAGACCAGGTTGCTCAGGGCCCTATCCCTGTATTTGAATGCTTCCAAGGGATGAGGCTACCACAACTTCTAGGGGCACTGTTTCAGAGTCTCACCACCCACACAGAGAATAATTTCTTTGTAATATTCAACCTAAATCTTCCCTCTTTCATTTCAAGGCCATTACCCCTTGTCCTGTCAATATTTGCCAGAACGCCCTCTCTAGCTCCCTTGCGGCCCCCTTCAAGTACTGGAAGGACACAACGACGTCACCCCAGAGCCTTCTTTCTTCCAAGCTGCACAATCTCAATTTTCTCAGCCTCTCCACACAGGAGACCACCTTTGGGTGCCTAAGTCACTACAGCAGCACACCTCTCTGCTAACTCAAAGACCCCAGTAGTCTCAAATACATGTTGTGGGTGCACTTTTTCAAACAGAATTTTCACAAGGGGTTCCTACATAAGCCAAACTCCTAGGCTGCTGCTAGACAGACATTCCTCAGGTGCACACAGTCAACTCCTGCCTATAAATCTCTCAGAGGATAGTGTCATATCTGCTCCTGAAAAGGTTATGTTTGTAAAAGTTTACCATCAAATGGATCTACAATGAATTATCAGTGACCTCTCTTTATAAGTCCTGTGTCTCTGCAGGCAGCCAACCTCACACAAGGAGTCCTGTTAAGCTAGTTATTTTTCCTTTCTCTTCATTTCACTCATTTGTTGTAGGAATTTATTCAAAGTTAATGAATCAGACCAAAATTCTTCATACATATTTCAGTGTTCTTTAAA